CCCTCACCCAGTCTTCAGTCACTCAATGACGCTGTGTCTGCCTCGTGCATATTCCGCGGCAACACGAAGCCGCGAGCTACGACGAAGGAAATTATTTTATTTCGCACTTCAGAATATCACCCCGTGGACTCATTCATATTCATGCCCGCGCCTGAGCACTTCGTCTCCGAAATGCGCCGGTAGTCGTGCCGGTTAGTTTAAGATTCAAGCACGGTCTTCTTATACTCGGTCTAACTCCGTCCCTTATTCCCTTATCGCTTTTGATTTTGTCTCTTAACGAGGATAAATATTACTTGCAATACGGTATGTCAGGTTTCCGAGGTGGAGTTATTCGAGTTTTGCGGCGAGCGCAATCATGTAACGAAATGTATTATTACATAATCGTAATATAGATTAAAACGTAAATTAATATTCTAGTTTTGTATATTTAATGGCAGTTCGTACCAATTTGCATTTCTATTATTACAATACGATTGCGGTAATTTGTAACATTCTTCATTAACCTTGGAACGCTATTAACACATAAATTTTATATACAAATGCGAACTCATTGAATGTTAAGTTATGCTTTCAGTGATCATCAGGAGGTTCAATTTGTCATGCTAAAAGGATCAGAACGAGTTTTTAAAAATTCAACCCATTATGTATAATCAGATCAGACTCTCTGATGGTCGGTATTGTAACAGAAAATATAATAAATAATTTCAATTTTTAAGTAGTTTTATATTGAATATTTTATTTTGGTAAGTGTTATGAGGTGACATTGAATTTCATACTCTATATTTCAAAATTAAATTTGATTAGTGTTTTATTAATTTTTTTTTCTTTTGAATTGATAATTAGGTTATTTATGTCTATAAAGATTTAAATTATAAATATTTTATTAGTAAAAATGTAAAATATATAGAAAATTTTGGTAATTAAAAGTATTATTTCATTGTACGTAAAATTTATGTACCGATAACAATATTGTATTATTCAATATTGATAGCGTTCAGTAAATATAAAATAATTATATAACGCATAAATTAATATTCACATATTCAGTATTGGCTTGAAACAGAATGCTTATATAGCTCTCTTTAATATCAATCTATGTTTGGATGATTCAATTACAAGAATTGAAATATATATCATTAATACCAATTAATCTCATTTAAACTTATAAAAATATTAGTCTTAACTCTTGAATAATCAAAATTATTTAGTTTTGATAAACATTTAGAATTTATCAATATTGTTAATAATTATATTGCACTGATAGATAGAAATTGTATCCATCTATTCTCCGGTTTACATCGTCATTCACATACACATCAGCGAGATGACAATCGGTTCATTTCCGCAAATTACAATCGGATCTTATTCAGCTCTTATTCACAGCGCGAGGTCTAGTTACGAATGTGATTGTCTCCCGACGAGTAAACTTCCCTCCAAATAATGCCATCTCCTTGGTTTATCTAAACAACCCCAACTTCCCACATTGCCCGCTTAACGCAGGCGACTCGGTTGATTAGGGTGCAAACGAACCGTAAACATTAAATTATTCATCATCCTCTCTACAGTTGAGACAGTTAATTAACAGTCTAACTGGTACCTGATTAGTTTACGTTATTAATGCGATATGATTAAAACTTTTTTGGGTTGTGTAATGTAAAGTGAATTCGCCTCGGTTGGAATGCGATAATGGCAGTTACACGAAATTCTCAGTCTCAACCTTGTTATCATATACATCACAACAAAATATTAAACCAAAATGTGAGAAAATTTTAATAATTAATTATAACCTTATATCAAAAAAAGAAATAAATTAGTCTAAATTAATAAATATAATGTATATAGATTCCACATTCGATTTTATATGCACAGATTTTATTCATGCAGAAGTGTATATGCATTACAGTTGATATGCTGCCTCTATTCTTGCCGCCCATTGTAGTGATTGCAACGCAAAGAACATCTATATATTAAAAATCTCATGAGAAATCTACGTAGGCGAAACATCGCAAATTAACGTCGCAAAGAAACGTCGGTTCCGTCTGAAGCGTAAAAGTTGTCGTTCCTTTTTCCGGAGAATTGGTCAGATCGTAAGATTTCCCGAGTGCCCATGTTACCGATTAGTCTCGGCGCACACGACGACGGTAAGATCGCATTTCGGGCAAAAGGGGAATTCTCTTCGTCGAGGAAACAGGAATGGAAATCAGTCAGGAAGCAGAGAAGGAAGGAAGGAAGGAAGGAAGGAAGGAAGGAAGGAAGGAAGGAAGGAAGGAAGGAAGGAAGGAAGGAAGGAAGGAAGGAAGGAAGGAAGGAAGGAAGGAAGGAAGAAAGAAAGGAAGGAAGGAAAATAGGAAGGAAGGAAGGAAGGAAGAAGGAAGGAAGGAAGGAGGAAGGAAGGAAGGAGGAAGGAAGGAAGGAAGAAGGAAGAAGGAAGGAAGGAAGGAAGGAAGGAAGAAAGGAGAGAGGGAGGGAGGGAAGGAGGGAAGAAAGGAAGGAAGGAAAGAAGGAAGGAAGGAAGGAAGGAAGGAAGGAAGGAAGGAAACATCGAACGCGCGCGTAGCGATAGACTTCTCTCTCTAGGAACGAGAGAAATTGCGGGGATAGCAAGGGAATGGCAAGTCGAGCGGTAGCACGTCACTATTGTGACGAATGATTCGCGCGTGTTCCATAGAACACCGACATTGCGTCTCGCCGCGCGTTTCTACTACCTTCCGCTACGAAAGCCGGTACTCGGCTTCGGAATCACGGGTGTCGGTAATATCGATCGGCGCGAAACGGGCAAATAGAAGGAGATGTAGGATGGCGACGAAGAGGCCGGGGAAGGGGCACTTAGAGAGCCATTGCATACCGAAACTTCTCTCCGCACGGAGGTTCCATCGCGGATTTTCGCGAACAAAAAAAAAGCAGAGGAATCCTGACGAAGAAAACGAGGACGTGCAGAAACGAGAGGAGAGCGATAGCGGGTGATAGTGGGCGAAATGGGTGGGCAGGCGGTACAGATGAGCGAGATGTGGTGGAGCTGAGCGAGATTTCATCTTACTTTTGTGCAACTGATATATTTTTATCTGACGTCGGGATTTGACTGCTCGTCGAACCGTCCCTACCCTCGGGTTTCTCTAATATTAACCGATAAGAAATATGCAAATATTAATTCTCTAGAAGCGAGTGTTCCAAATTTATAATATTTATTTTAAAATTAAATTCGGTACAAATTTGATATTTGTATAAATTAGTTATATTTAAGGACATGGAAATATAAGCACTAAAATATGTATATTCTCTAAAAATGAGAGAATCAATGTATTACTGAAAAGCAGTATATTCGTTGTTGATCGCAGTTACAAGTATAACATTGATCAGTAAATAATGATATTTATCAATACTGATTTACTTTTAGAGAGTACAATGCTTCAAGCTAGAAAGTCTATATCAATTGACTATATCGATTATTAAAGATATCGATAAATTCTTCGCTTACAAATCATTTTTTTTTTTTAGTAAAAATAGTAAAAAAACTTTTTTAAAAGACGATACTATTTCTAAAAAGTTAAAGCTGCGGAAAATTCATTTCAATTCATGAAGTATACTTCTAAAATTTATCTATTAAAATAAAGATTTCTCCATTGAGAATTTATACTTATTAAAACGATAATCATATGTTCTAAATGTAGAGCATCGTAATAAAATACACCGAGGTAACGTGTTGTAGCTGCAATATTAAAAAATCATACCAGTTAAAGTGAGAAATAAAATATAATATTTAGTAATCTTTATACATACAGATAATCTTGTCAGTTATTTGATATTCAAATTATATTTACAGAATGAACCATGCACTTCCATTTTTGTAATTACTAATAAAAGATACAGTAATTTTGTGCAACAAAAACCTGTTCTTTCAATATTCAACTGGATTATATTTTCACAAATATAAAATTATTGATGTGGCAACCAACCCTTTTTATTTAAATACGTTCTTCTATTTTTTCATCTATTTTTGTATAAAAAGTAAAAATTTAATTAAATTTCAAAAAGCCGAAAAATAGTCAAAATGGAGCCAAGTAATGGATAATATTGCATTATACCGCATTTTAGTAATATGTATTAAACCATAATACACACGTAAAAGCCAAAATATCTATTTTTCTGATTCGCTCTATACAAGAGCGTAATTCAGTCGCGTTATACACACACAATAACAGAAAATTGCTTTGCTCTAAATAATTATACATATGTCACTTTTTAATAGGCAGTAACGAAACTGCTCGTAAAATTAAAACGACTGTACCGACATATCGCTTTTTATTACTTCACCAACGTTTGACGTACGCTATCCATCGAGCAATATATGGCTTGTTGCCTGCATTATGCAGCCATGCGATTCGACAAAAAACTTGTTGGCGCTCACCGTTTCGTAATGATCGATACGTGGCACAAAAAACGGACGGCATAAAAATCCATTGCTAGGCGACGGCATTCGCGCGCGTATGTGCTCCAGGGAGGGGATTATTTTCAATAGAGATTATACATATAAAACAATCTGCGCGCCCGATACGGCGATAAGCCCACCACGGGTTTATCGTCGTAGTGTAATATCGAAAAGAGTTCGAGATTGGTGGTGCGGGAAAGAATCGAATCGTGCGGCAGAGAGGAGAGGAAAAGTTATTTTACAAGCAAGCGGATATGCCGAGGCGCGAAATGGCCCATTTCATGAGGTGCCCGCGACTCTACATACGATATATACAATACGTACACACGTGCGTCCTGTACACGTGCAATGACCGTTAACGTAACGCAAAAGCGCTGGTGTTCCATAGTTTATTTTGGCCTTTAACGCAAACAACAAGGACGATAATGCTCGGTCCCGGTTGACACTCGCAACGTGCAACCATGCGAGTCTGATTTTCGACATCGAGTGCATTCCCGCAACATCCCCACGGGATCTAGCAGCTTTTGCTAGTGATTTCCAGCTGGATTGCGCTCGTCAACGTATGGTCACTCACTGTTATTGTAACTGTCCGATAATGATGCATCCTGCGTACCGTGATGATGACCCGACGATTGTCCCGGTAACAGATTCCTCGCTTGTCGTCCTGTAACACAAAAGAGCACAGAAATGTCAGAGGATAAAGAAAGCGACTAAAATTTAAGATAACAATTAATAAAGAATTTTACTTCTTCATCTATCAATTCCTCTATTTGAACCATTGTTACTAAAACATCGAGAAATCGCGTATTCAATTCATTTTTTAGATATCAACTGAAGTAAATTAATTTCTGCAAGCTTCGATTGTTACTACAAGGTTCATAACAACGATGTATCAACAGCGAAACAGTATCAGAAATCGTAGAGCATACGTGAAACATATCGAAAATCCGATTAGATCAAAAATGTTATAGCGAATCAGTTTAATCGAAATCCATTAAATCGAACCCGTGATTTCGAGTACTCCGATATCGGAGTAATATTACTCCTGGACTCGTTTAACGGACGGATATTCTGATACAGAGAATACCTGCTCTACGCTAACAGCATTGACCTTTATATCTGTTCCAAAATATTTGTTTGTAAAGTTGAGAAGGGAGAATTAAATCTTCTTCTATATATTCTATATAATGCAAATAAAATATCAAAATTATGAGATTCTATTTATATCATTTTGCTACAATAGCGTGTATTTTGAAGATACAAGTTCAAAAAATTTGTTTATTGTTGCTAGATGCAACGTTAATTCTAATATCAAAGAATTCAACTCAATATCTGAAAATAGAACTTCATATTCGAAAATATAACTTAATATCCGTCAATTTTCAGTGCATGATAAATATATTCAAAAAATTGATAGATAACCTAGAAAAATTGACAGAACTTGATCACTGCAAATCATCGTGGTGAGATGTAACAACACATATTAGCAATATTTTGTCCACGACATGTCATCTGGACACAGTTTCACAGATTTATGTACGAGATGGTGCATCGAAGTGACAAGTGACATACGACGAACACGAACATACATCGCCAGAAACATCGTTTACACTGTTCATAAGTGATGAGCATCACTTCGACAGCACAACTTATGAGACTTATGAGAAATTTATCTTCCCTATCACATTAAACATGACGATCATAAAAGTGGATTAATATATCATTATAATATACAAAAAGTTGTATCTATATGGAAAACTTTTTAAATTCATGATGGCGTATAAAATAGAAATGTGGAAAATTTAATAATTTCAATAATAACATAAAAATAATTTCAAAAATTACATTAGAATAATATTAATTAAAAATTTATAAAAGTAGAGATTTTTCATGATCAAAAATATCTAATAACGCGTCGATTGAACTAGTGACGAAAAAGTAGCGTAGCAAAAAAAATGTGTAACATAATACAAAATTTGTTGATCAAGGATAAATGTTACGAAACTCGATGCGACTTCGTCATTCGTTCGACCATTTGTCTAAAATCGTCCGCTGCACTATGCAAAGGTAGAATGTTGAATGACTGACGACTCGGCCGAATCCTGACGAGTGTAAAATTACAGTATGTTGTTTTAAAATACCTCATGGTGCTTTTTTATACGGTTGAAAAATAAATCTGACGCTCTATGGCTCGTGTACAGCCATTAAATCTATCGATAACAAAAGCGAACACAAGTGCATCATAACCTGTGGCCGAATCAGAATAAAATTTGTAAACATATTGATGATACAAATACATTTAGTTATTTTATCCGACAATTATTATCTACTGACTCTTATACTATTTGCAATGTTTAATTTAATGACGGTACAGTTTTTGATTCTTTTTTCAAAAGAAAAATCTCTCTGACAAGCAAAGATAAAGCTTTTCCATTAAAAGTTTTGTTTTATTTTTTCGCTACTTTTTGAAAGTGTTTTATATCGGAAAAGATATATGGACGTTTGTTACAATGGCTTCTGTTTATAGTCTTTTGCATATTACACTTGTAGAAGTGACGTCAACATAACAGATAAATGCAATAAATTTCCTCTACAATTGTTATATTTCTGTCTCCTTCTTTAAATTATCCAGATCCATTAGCGAAAATTACACATTCTATTCGGAATTAAATAGTTTATTTTAACTAAAAAAATATAAAATAACGCTATCGTACATTGTGTATGTACTTGCAATATAGGTCAGTGCATACGAATCATCGCGAGTTTTGTGGATGATAACGCGTGATAACGTTATGATATTTTCCAGCGAATTCGAGGTGACGAAACTATCTAAACTTGGAGATTATGACAACCGTTTGTCGCGAGTTTAACGATGTTCAGTGACGGTGCTTCCCCAATAGTTATATAACTTCGTGCGTCTCATAAATGCGAGCCACGGAGCAACTTGAGGATAATTACATTCACAGATGACAGAGAGTAAAATTACTTGCATTATGAGCACGAGACTAGTAGATTACACGAGGGAAATGTAAATTTGTAAAAGCCAATATATACGCATGTTTTGTGTCCTTCGCGCACAAGTGAAAATTTGAAATTACAATTACGAGCACTCTGCGAATAATTGTACGGCGTGTTGTAATAAATTAATAGCGAGCATAAATTTGTCAAAATGCGTCGTTTCATTTACCTTTGATTTTGGCAAAAAATTTATAATAATTCTAGGAGATAACTTTACAATAAACGATAATATACATTTTGTAAAAATTTGCCATCAAATTTATATATGTCTTATACTATTAATTTTTATAGTTATGTTACGATATATGTGAAAGTTATTATTAATATTCGTACAAGTTAAATCTTTTCTAGCTTAATATTAGCTGCATGAGAAAAATCACAGAAACAACGTATTCTTTTATACTTTATGGTATTTTTGTTACAGCTCTTTTCTTTGCGATTCAATCGAGTTTTCAACTTTTTTGTTACATTCAAACTTGAATAACTGAATTCCATCCATTGACCACGACCGCTGTTCCATTCGAGCTTCGCTAACAGTGCACTGCTAAGGAAGGTTTCATTGTTGGAGTTCGCATACGAGCCATTCTACCGTGTCGCTTTTTTTTTCTCTCACTCTTTCTCTCTCTTTTTCTCATTCGGCACTGGCGCAACCACCACTGTGCAATTGCGCAACTGCATTTTCTGCACTATGGCGTCGATGTTTCGAGCGGCGGCATTTATTTAGGACGTAGCCTCTTCATGAAACTGCGATATCGCGTGCGTCTGTGGTAAGATTAATGGACCAATCTTGGCGCCGGCACAGTTACGCGCAATCAGGAGACAGCTTTTCGGAGCTTCAACCTTTCATCGTGATAGCGACGTGGATACATACATGTTGGCTCGCGATATACCCGGTTTACGCAGTTCAGACTATTCAAGTCAGCGGTATTTACTTTACGTTCCACCACGTAAACTTCGTGAAACGTAGCCCGCGCTTTACGTGGTAATGTAACAACAGCCATAGAAGCGCGTTGTATGTAGAGAAAGATGGTAGAAAAAGGATTATCGTTGCAAATAAGTTGGAAATTTTTATATACGGCGTAACATCGTTATTCTATATTGTGAGATATTTTAAACAATGATCAGTCGTTCATCGAAAAACATAGAATTCAAGACAGTTAATATTGCACGACTCTTTATCTCGCTCAAAAACGATGAAAACATAAAAACGCTGTAGACGGTTATCGAACGATGTAATATTTGTTACAGACGATCGGGTCACTAGGGAACGGAATCGATTTGTCTTTTCTCGTGAATTCACATCGAAAGGTCAAACTGCCAGGAACTATTTATCAAGAAACCGGAATACCAGAAGGAACAGTAAAAAAAAAAAAAGAAAAGAAATCGCAAGAAAGAATAATGAACCTGCTTGAAAAATCGAGGCACCTCACCAAATTATTGTTACTTTCTTCGCGTTGTTTATTCGCTGCGTTTCTATACAATATTGTCGTTTATTTACCTTCGTAAAATAATAACTGTCACATTAAACTTATTGTCAATAACCTTATTATTTCTTCTATAATGTGACTAATTGATAAATAAAAAAAGTTTATTTATATATAAAGTTATTGTAAATTTATTGTCTCAAGATTTATATTAATTCATCGTAACTTATTACAAATGTATATAATATGTGTATAAATAAAAAAATTAAAGTTACTAGAAATGCAATATTTTACAGAAGAGATATTGTATAATTAATAATTTCTCCATTTAGATATAAGGGAGATTGGGGAAATTGCGAATGCGGGATAAACGCGAACAATACTATTGGAATATATTACAGTAGTGATAACCTCTCATTTCTCGTATCCGATGATAGTCCAGTATACGCTTACAATTAGTACCGTATAACACGTGACCATAAAACATACGAATTCAAGGTAAATATTATTATATGTTTGCAATAATTTTAATGTAGGAGAAAATGGAAGTATTATAAACCTTCCTATACCTAAGGGAAAAATTAAATACACTCGATGATTATTTATCAATTACAGAAATATTTATTTAAAGTATATTAGCTTTAACCCATAACATTTATATATTATCAATGTAAACTATAATTTTAAACAAAAAACAAAATTGATTCGATATTGTCCCACGTGGCAGCTTTTTTATTTTAATTTAAAGTTACACTTTATATTGATAATATATGAATGTTAATTATTGTAGTTTAAAGCCAAGTAATTGGAGTAGTTTTTGAATAAAGATTATTCTATTAATTGATAAATAATTGTCGATTTTCCCTTAGATGTTCGCGTTCCTCCATTTTCCTCTAGTAAATAGTCCCTCATTGTTTTGATTATCAAATTAAGCGAATTAAAATATAAAAAATGAAAAATGAAGATAGATTATATGCCTTTGTAAACCAATAATATTATTACGTGATAAGCGTTAACTTGTTACATTCAACTATACATACAACACTTTTGGTTGAATTAACTTCATTGTTCAAAATGCGTATGACAGTGACGTTATGACAGTAATATTTCCGCGGTTCTCGTGTATTTTCTCGAACCGTTTCCACTTGCAGAACGCTGATTCTCCACAAATAATAAACGTCATAATGAGTAATATAATTTTGTGCACATTGATTATTCACTT